GCAGTCATTGGGGGGCTGGGGGAGTGGGAAGGGTCAGTGGTGTCCCCCCATGGTCCACTCCTCCCTTCTCTAGTCCCCCTACCCCTTACTTACCGGCACTGGAGCATGGGTCCAGATCCCTGCAGCTGGCATGCTGCCTGCCCTACAGAGACAGTCAGTGTGCTTTAGCACCAGGGTGAGGGCCAGCCATAGAGATGCTCTGGCTGCTACCAGAGTGTCTTTGTGGAGGACCCAGCCTCTGGTTGCCTCAGCCCAGCCCCACTTTTTTCTCTGTGTTTATTTTTTTACCCCAGATATCCAGCAGTCTAATTTTGCCCCTGCGCTGCAAATTTGCAGTGCGGGGAACATTTTCTCATTCCTGCACGTGCCTCTTGCAGTGTCTCAAACAGCTTTGAGATGCTGTAAGACGCACATGTCCACTCATCTGGATGCGCCCCTCAGGGCTATAAACACATCTCACTATTGCTTTCAAAGCTCTATAGTATTTGAATGGAGTGAATGTGAGAAGACAGGAAGTTCATGAGAGAAAATGAAATATCTGGAGGTACTCTGAAAACATCAAGTTTACACAAGCAGCAACTAGAACTTTGGCAGGACAAAGTTAGAAGAAAGAGGGCCCAATGCCCAGCACATGAAAGCTGTAAGCATCAAATATTGTGTAAATTCAAAGGACTGGGCTTTCTAAGTTGACACTAAGAGAACCCAACATCTCATTATGTCTTTGTTACCATGGATCTTTATTTCATTATCTTCTGTAGCTTAGACTGTTTCCAGAAAATTCAGCCAACTAAGCAAGTAGTACTAAGTCCCAAGAGATTTTCTCTTGGGAGGATGAATGCTTGTACACCAAGGTTCCCTCCAAGCTGTGTGCGTGCATGACAGCGCACACTTTAAAACCATGCTACGCACAAACTTATTAAGGCCATGCACCTGCCCAGAGAGGAGCTGTGTTGCGGCTTCCCTGAGAGGAGCTGGGCAACAAGGTGAGCATGGAACATGGCAGAGGCACTGGGGCTGGTGCAGGACACTTACTGGAGGTAAGATCAGGCAGTGGCTCCTCCCCAAGGCCATGCGCTCAGTGTGAGAAGTAGAAGGAGGCTTTGCCCTCTGCTCAGTCTGCTCGGCTCCAGGGGAGTGTAATGTAAGTCCCCCACTTGCTTCTGATTCTGGAGTTCCCAGAGTGAGAAATGGGCAGAGGACTTTGCCCTGCTGCTCTAGGCCCCTGAGAATGGAAGGACTGGAGCAGCCTACACATTCCCCAGCATGGGATCACCCCAGTTTTAGGAAGGCACAAGGAGCAGGGGAGTAGCTGAACACCTATACTGCTCCCTCTCTCTCAGAATCATTGCTAGAGGTAGAGATTTTCCACTTCTGGCGGTGAACAAGCATTTGTATGCAGCCTCAGTTTATATTGCAATATGTAATATACAGTTGATTCTCTGACTATAGTGAGCCTGAATCATGGAAGATGACTAAAGACTACCAGTAAAACAGCTTTAAGAGGCCAAGGTGACACATACTTAAAAGTTATTTTACACTCTTTAGTAATGCTCCAAGTGCTGTCTGTTACACATAAAAATATAGATAGATACTACATATATAATATACAAGCCTTCTAGCACCAGTCATGAATTTACTGCTATATAGACAATACATACCTTGCGGTAATAATGAAACATAACTCTTAGTATCTTATTGGTAACATATCAGTGTCTTAGTAACTTTTAGTATCAACTTTAAATATTCTGCCTACAAGTTGTAAAAGAACCATGTTAATTCAAAATGTCTGTAGTCATAGGTAGGAGACTCCACAAAACTAAACCTTTCTCAGTTCTTATGTTTTTGCTTAGATAATGTTCTTGTATTTTTTTTTATCTTGACTTGTATGTATTCTCAACAATAACTCCAGGTGTACATATTTTTGACTGGGAATATTTTCCAATGTCAATTCTAAAAAACCTAATTTGCTTTTTAAATCAATATTTTTCAATTGTTTTGCAGTGATATAAATGTCTAGTTACAGTGAAAATAATACAAGACTTTTAAGTTACTGCCATATGTATATGCATTACAAAACATAGTTCCTCTGTACACCACGGTTTCTCCAAGTACTGCTCTTGAGAATGCTTAGGAAGATATTTAGTTCTTTCATGTCAGCCAGCTTCATCTTTGAACTAAATTTTTTCACAAATATTATTCAAAAAACTTCAGCTGATCTAACATCTGTCACTGGTCTATTTATACTATATCTCATTATTCACCTTTCAAAATTGCCCATGCATACATTTTTTCAGTGTATATTAGATTAGATATTTACAGCCAGATACACTTAGGTTCTCAATTATAGTAGTCATGAGGCTTTTTTAATACTCTTATTTCATAAGCTCTGATCAGTAGCTTATAAAATGTGCATTGTGTCCTAAAACTTGACAGAATAAAGTGTGAAAGAAATGCCACCCTTTAAATCATGTCTCTGCAGAAGTGAGCAAGCTAATAAGCAGAATGTTATTTTTTCTGTTAACAAGCCTGACTAAAAATACTGTACCTAAGGAATCCTGGTTATTGAGAGACCTTTTTCAAAAGAAATGCAAAAATAGATTACTTATAGGAGAAACAAATACATGATTACAACTTAATTTTTCATATATAAAATGTCTTACCTCTTTGCTTCCTTCCACATCTGATTCACTGCTAAATTCTTCTGTATTTAAATTTTCAAAATCTGATTCTCCAACAGCAATGGGTACCATCACAGTGAGGCCTGGGTTGTTTATGAATGACATGTAATCATTTTCCTCAATTATGTATTTTTCCACACTGCTTCCCGTTCCTACACCACTGGTAGTTCCATTCCCATCTCTAAGATAATTAAGATCTTTGCTTATCTCTACTACAGTATGGTTAGAAATGCAGCTGTCTTTCTTCTTGTTTAGCTCTTCAAGTGCTTTGATTTCCTCTAAAGCTTTTTGCTTTCTAACAAAGGCTTTTTGGACAAATTCCCGTAATTTTTTTTTAACATAATCTATTCCCTTCTGAATCCTTGCCACAGCAATCTGGAGGTTGTTCATTTCATTATCATCATCTGTAGCAGCAAGGTTGTCTGAACTAAATGAACTCAGCAGCAAGGCCAGAAACAGGTTCAGTACCTAAAAGAGGAGAAAATAGAGTTGTAGAGTATATATGTAAATATAATGAGTCAGTAGTTTTAAAGACTGCTGTTAAATTAAAAGGGAGCATACTGTTTGTTTCCAGAAAGAGTACTCCCTAATTTATTTATTTAATACAACCTAAGGACACCTTGTATTAAAAAATCTGAGAGGTGTTTCACACATTTCTCTTTTGAATGTGTGTTGTCCCTTTGGTCACACAATGAAAATAGACATGTTAGTTTTTTGTCAGTTTAGATTTCTTTTCTCTTTTTTTTTTGCTAGCACATTTGCCCTAGATTCTAAATATATTTGCTCATTTAAAAAAATTAAACATTTTAAAACTTCTAGCTGGCATGAAAGAATAATTTTCCATTTCTTGAGTGAAAAATCAGGTCAAATGTAATAAAAAAACCAAATATGGTTCTATAGACAATAAATAGGTTATTCTCTTCTAAAGCCTGCATATTGTAATAGTAAAAAATATCCTCAGATTTTCTAACCACTCTTTAAGATGTTCTGCCTGGAATGGAATTTTCAGTTGGGTGGATTCATTGTATAGAACAAAGAATTAGCCTTTATTAAATTTTATAACACTCCAATAAGAATATTTTAAAGAAGTTTTAGTTTTCAATCTTCATTACTTAGAATACCACCTGCAGATGAAAAACCAACTAGTTTCTCCTTCTTTCCATTTAGCACACCCTGACTTTTTTTTGCTTTTCTATAAGAATTTTAAATTAAAGTAGCTTTCTTTGTTCACTAACAATATTGATGATGCACTTACAATGCTGCAAGGGAAATATGATTTATTAACTACTGCTGTAAGCTAACAGAGGTCACGCAAAAGGACAAAATGTCCTAAGTATTATTTCAGCAAGGTCTTCAATAAACTCTGAACAGTTCTGAACATTTTAAGCAGTAGATTGTTTCATATGTATCCCTTCAAGCCCCCAGTCTGTATAGGAATGTAACATTCCTGACCAATTAGCAGTTTTTAAAGTAGGGGTATTTCAGATAACATTAAAGGGCTAATAATTGGATTTGCAAGCTTTGGACCATAATCCAAACTATAAATCACTGACCATCACTGACCAGAAGCTTTCATATGATGACAGCATTTATATAATCAATCTGTTTCCTAGTAATAAGTTTTCACAGCATTTGAGAAAAATACTGGGCTGAAATTTTGTTCTCATTCATAGTGATACATATTCTGGGCATAATTTGAAACAGAAAACAGAACAAAAATAAATCAGTCTTGGTAAGTTTCAAATTCAGCATGTAAAATCTCCTGGACCTTTCTTGTTACATAATAGTGTCCAAGTCTTAAGACCTTTCGCATATGAAAGTTACCATAAAGTCAGAGAAAATTTTGGGAACATAAGTGATGCAGATCAGGCTGAAATAAGCAATAACCTTTCTAAGTGAAGACTAACGTTAATAATTTGCAGAGCAGGATCCATTCAGCAGGGAAGGGAATTATTTTGCAGCATCTCAGAGTATGTTATGCAACATGAATTGTATGTGCCCTTGGTGGCTGTGGGGGAATGGCTGTGCCAGCGCCTGCAGGAGCACAGTGGTGGGAACCTGGCGGCGGTGAGCAGGGAAATCCTGCAGATGCCACCAGCACTGTTAGCAGTGGGGCGGGGCAGTGGTGAGCACCAGCCAGGGGTCAGCAACCACGCACAGGCAGCAGCGGCCAGGGAGGATCATGGACTGCCCACAGACACTGCTGGCAGTGCTGATGGAGGGGTGGCAAGTGGCAACCACCAGCAAGCACTGCTGACAGTGTAGATGGCATGTTTTTGCAAGGGGTGCACGACCAGATGCAGGGGGTGCACATGCACCTGCGTGCACCCCCTACGCATCACCCCTGTTATGCAAACTATGAAAACAATAACAACAAAAGAAACTAAAAGCTAAAATAATAATACAAGAGCAGTGGACGCTTAAACACTTTTTTTTAAAGTTCCAAATTGGTACATTAGGCATAAACTTGGCACACTAGCTGCCAGTTTGGATGCAAATTCAGTGAATCATTTATGTAATTTATTCTTTTAGCTATGTTATAAATACAAGAGCAAATTTGGAGGTCTCTGCAAATGGTGTAGTTTTTAAATAGGCACATTTTAAAAATGTGTATATTCAAAAAGGTGACAAAGATCAAAATTTACAAACTTAGATACATAAAATTAGGCCCCTAAATCTAATAAACAGAGCAACCTTTTTCATTAATATACAAAGTCTAATGAGTGTCTTTAAGGAATATTTTAAAGACATTTTACAATCTACCCAAAGTCTCATGGACAAAAAGGGAAGAACAGCTAATAGAATTACATAGAGTTGCCTTCAGACACAACTCTAAGCATGAGGTGCTGTAATGTACAAAGCACTATACCAAGGGGACTTGAGAGAGGAAGTTAGCTGTTTTAGTCTGAAGTCAAGCAGAAGGCAGGGCAGGCCAGCACCTTAGAGACAAACTGGTTCAGAGAGTCATAAGCTTTCGTAGGTGATGGCCTACCTTGTCAAATCTGGGGAGACAGTCTGACTCAAGACTGCACCTCTCAGTTAACAATTTTCTGATCATTCAGATCATTCACCTCTATTAACTCAGAGGTGAATGATCATTTTCTGATCATTCACCTCTGAGTTAATAATTTTCTGATCATTCACTCTGTGGTTGATAGGAGTTAAATGTGAAGTATCAGCTTTATTTCTGCATACTTGGACCCAGGATAATGACATCTCCGTATCAGAAGGAGTGGCCTTCCTCCCCTTTACTCCTCTTTGTGGACATGTAGTCCAAGTCAAAATCTAGCATCATAAAAAGAGATCTCCCTTTTCCCTCTTTTCCACAAAGAGTCTGGAACACCCAATTGCTTGTTTTGTGACATATTACATGCACTTTTGTGTCAGAATGCATTTTTGAATAATGCTGATTACGTACCACCAGGTTTCCAATGACCATGACCAGCATGAAAACTATAAGGCACATGGTTTGGCCTGCAACCTCCATACAGTCCCACATAGTTTCTATCCATTCTCCACAAAGCACTCGGAATACAATCAAGAAAGAGTGGAAGAAGTCGTGCATGTGCCAGCGTGGAAGTACACAGTCTGTGGCAATCTTGCAAACACAGTCTTTGTAGCTTTTACCAAACAGCTGCATGCCAACCACAGCAAAAATGAAGACAATGATGGCCAGCACCAAGGTTAAATTTCCCAAAGCCCCCACTGAGTTACCAATAATCTTTATCAGCATGTTTAGTGTTGGCCAAGATTTTGCCAACTTGAAAACTCGAAGCTGAAAAATAAGAGCAAAGAGGCAATGTTAGTAATAATTATAGTGAAGGTCTTCATGAAATTTCTGTATTGCAAAATGCTTTATTTTATGGTTACAGAAACATTTCATTCATATTTTCTATGGAAGTTATCAGTGGTATATCCTGTAATTCAGCAGCTTTAGGGCTTGTTCCACATTTATGACTAGAAGATGTCATTTTAGCACAAGCAATTACCCTTCTGCTTCTGGGAAGCAAAAGATGCAGGTTTAAATTCCCCTCCATCTGGGTGAGTAGGGCCTAGAATCGGAGTCTCTCGTCCCCTGAGTGAATGTCCTAATTGCTATGCTAGCAAGCTAAAACATGGAAAGGCACTTGTGCTCTTCCACATGCTCTTGTGTCTAACACCCACTAATCATGGGTTTTTAGCCTGGCCACAATTTCAACACTTACCCAGCTTTATACACGCATCTGGGCAAGTGTCCAGCCCCTAGAGTGCATCCCTTCTGATCACACTCATTAGGTTCATGGAAGCTTGTTCACACTGCAACTAGAATTGAACTGAAAACTTTGTATAAGTGTCAAAACCAGCACTTACATGGCTGGGCAATGTCAGGGCCACTGATCAGGTATACCCTGCTGGACCAAGCACCTGAGTTGTCACACCTACCCCTGATTTCTGGCTAATGAAACTTCCCCTGTTCTCTGCAACTGGATTGGTTGCTAAAAGTGCCACTCACCCCTTATAAGCACACCTGTAGCTTCAGGCTGCAGGCAATAGCATGTTTTACATGCCTCAGTCTGTTCAGGCAAGCCTTGTGTTTACTGCTGTATTATTCTCCTGTCTCCTGACTCAGCTTTGGCTTTTCCTGACCCTGGTCTTGGATCTTCCCTGAACCTTGGTGCTGGCCCTGGTCTCTCTGGTTTGCTTGGTATCCTGACTCAGCTTGGCTTCCTGACACTGATCTCAGGTCTTCCTTGGAACTCTGCACCCGTTCTCCAACTCCTGGCTTCAGACCTCAGCTTATGGCTCAGGGTGTCACTCGGATTTCCCCTCTAGCTCCCCTGGACCTCAGTCCCAAGCTCTCCATTCTGCCAACACAGACTCCAGCTTGGTGCTCCAGTATCCTATGCCCCTGCCCCGCTCACACCCCAGGTCACTCCTAGTGGTCTATCACAGGTCTGGCTGCCTACATCCCAGCTGAACCCTCGCAGGTAACTGCCAGTAAGGTATGTACACTGAACTAGGATATACCCTTTTGTTCAAGGTATTGGTAAACCCTTAATGGGCTTAGTTTCACTTATCAGAGAAATCGTCCAATAAAGTAGGTAGGGTTTTTTGTGTCTGTTTTGGGGCTTAAATAATGTAAATCAAGTGTCTAAGAGTGTTCAGAGCCGAAGCTTAACACCTCTGGAAGCTGTTCTCCCTGGAGGTTGGCTAGATCCTTGTTTTGGTAAGCTTCCATGTAGTAATGGCTGCACTGGCCTACAGTGAACATGGAAAACATTGTTCACTTTACTTAGCTTAATAACCCAAACATGATAATATCATATGACATATATTGAAGCCCACTGCACTTATTACTGTTGTCCTGACAGTTCTCTTCTTTTCCCATTAAAAATAAATGTTGTAAATGGTAGATATATATAAGGAAATTATAAAAAAGACAAATTTAGTGTTTGGAAGGCAAGAACCTAATTAACAATTTAGTAACTTTTATGATTGTACTGGTTAGATGTGCTTAAACAACCTCAAGTAGTTTTTAATAACTTTGTTTTCTTGAGGAGTAGAGATTAATGTTACGTATACGTCCATATACAATACATAGACAAATAAGGTGCTTTTTAAGTTTATATGATGCATTCATAGATTGATATCTTAAATGGTGAAATTGCGTGTCTAACAATAGCATTTTTCATTCCATTATTGCTAAATAAAATGTTATTGGTAAAATAGCATTATTGCTAAAAAATCTAGCAAAATGATGTGTTTTCCTTATATACCTAAATTTTAATTAAATTATTGGCTAATAATAAATAAATAGGATAATACCATATTTACTTACATATCATACACACTTTTCTTCCAAATACCAACCCTCCAAAATTGGCTTGTGTTTCAAGGGTAGGGCAGGAGGAAAGCTGATTTCTACACCAGAATTGCAGCACAGGGATACTGTAATGGTTTCTGGGCCTGTTTTTTTGCTCCCAGTCACAGGGAGGGAAGGATGTCACAGTTCGCTTTATTCTTCAGTGGCACAGTTTTAACTTTTTCACAAATTGGCAGCAGCTTTCTGCTGATCAGCTAAAAGCTACTGCCAATTTGGCTGTGGCTGTGAAAAGGTTAAAACTAACTTTTGGTTAAGCAGCAATAATCAGGATTCAGCCATGTGGTCAGGATCCCCTGTGGTTAGGATTCAGCTAAGACTGGAAAATTCCTTTTTTCTTCATTCTGCCTTCCCCAAACAGGGCATATATGTCTATTTGGGGTTATGTGGTATGTAAGAAAATATGGTATATCTAGCATTCATTTTAATGATAGTTACAAAGAGAATTGAACCAAGTGAAGACTGTGGCTTTGAAATCTATATCATTTTTAAAAGGGAGCAGTTGGTGTCTATGTCAGTGTCCAGATATTACAATCATGAGCAGCAGGTAACATATACATATTCTAGACCTGATTCTCAAAATAAGAGATACACAAAGATATGAACAATTGTCCTCACACTTGCAGTGATGGAGCGTACGTGTATATGCACATTGGTCAGTGATACTGCATGCTTAATATTTAAAACCACATTCCAAGGTAATAAAAATAGACCTAAATTTTTATCACTGGGCCCAGGTGACAAGTAAACACCTCTGATATCTAATGTCACTGCTATACTTCCTTACAACATCCTGATAAAAAAAAAAGGCTTCTATGAATTTATGTTCCTCTTTTGGTAAAAGTCCACATTACATAGTGCATGTATGAGCAATACAGATTTCCTGAATGTGCTTTATATACATACTATGGCTTAATTTTCAATGTACATTAGAACCTAGAATATAAAGCATGAAAATATGTATTTATTGATATATTTACCAATCTGAATGATCGCAAAACCGATAATCCTTCAACGTTTGCAAGACCAAGTTCCATCAAGCTAAGGCTGACAATAATGCCATCAAAAATATTCCAGCCCTCTTGAAAATAATAATAAGGATCCATGGCAATTATCTTTAGAACCATTTCTGCTGTGAAGATCCCAGTAAATACCTAAATACAGATTATAGTTAGTTAGTCTAATTCTATTGTGTGTGCACATAAACTAACGTTTCTAATCCATGTAGTGGCTGCCTTTAACTATTATTTCATGGACACTGTTATATTTCTACAGAGCTCCTAAATATTTATACACAATGAATTTAGTAATTAAAGTATTTTTACATGAATACAGACATAAGAAACAGAAGTTTAATTACTGGCTATCAAAGTTTCACCTCTAGTTCACCAGTTTATTGTGAAAGAAAAGCTTTACTATTGGCTTATAATATTTTACAAAGATTACTTGTGGTGCTTTCAGTTCAATTCCCAGAAATTATTTAAAATAAAGACAGCACAAAAATAGGCAATTATTTGTATCTTTGCTGAGGTCTCAGCAGAGAGACTAAGGACAGAGACAGAGTTTGAACTTTGTTCTTCCTCTAGAGGTGGTTTGCAGGTGAGAACTGAAAAGTATAGGCAGATTAGCACAAGGAAGCTTGTTCTCCTGTACTGATTCTGAGAATAAGAAAAGCATTTCATCTCATACTGCTGAGAATGTAGCACTTAAGAAGCTCCATACTAATATGAAAAAAAAAAAGAAAAGAAAAACCCTGAGGGTAAAAATGTGCTTAAAAACATTTGAAAGCACAATGAAATGGCAAAAGGCCCACTGATTACAGTGGGGTGAGGATTTCAATCCAAGATCTCTTCTGCATACATATATTGATAAGCAGCATCTAGAGTACATCAAGATGATTTCTAAGCAAACTGATTTCTAATCATCTAATATGATTTCTATTATCTGTTGTAATTTACTACTTAAGATGTTTTGCAATACCATGGAAAGGCATCCTGTGACTTCTTTTTTCCCTAGTTGTCTGTGAAATTCATGCACTCTATTGCTGTACTGTGACTGTGCATTTCTTTCACCATGTTCTCAATTCCCCTTCTCTCCCCCTTCAGGCTAATTCAGTGGCTGCAGGGCAGATTTTTTACAATACTATGCAACTGTAAATAACACGATCAGAATTTTAGAATTTCAGAGGCTGTAAGAATAGCACATGTAACAATCTGGTTGCATTATCATTATCAAAAAGCAAATACCTATATTTTAATAAAAGTTACTTCTTTTTTGAGAATAACCAAAATTATGCTATTGAAAAAGGAGATGTAGAAACAAAATTATTATATAATTAGAATGACATAACTACATAATGTTTATGGCAAACTAAGTGCAATAAGGGAAATAACTCTTTACAGAAAGGTACAGTGCCATGGAGGAGGCCCCACACAGGAGATTTGGGTTCAGTTCCCCAACACACATACAACTATTGTCATGGAGGCACCATCTGGTCTTTGGATTCTGTCTCAGTCCCCTGAAGGGAGGATAGAAGGCCTGGGTAGCCTCTACTCCTCTAAAAATTCCTGCCTAGGCATACGCATTGAAGGTCTGGGTTGCCCTCTTGCATATATGTGATCCAGCAGGATCAATGGTTGCTACAGTTCAGGAAGAATAAAAGCCTTACTGAGGATTAAAGAAATGAAAGCCTTTCAGATATTTTGACACCATCCACAGGCTGTTTTCTCCTGAGGTTTACAGTAGTATTAAATGCAATGAAAATGCAATAGCAGATACTCACTTCTGCTAAGAAGTGCTATACTTTGTCTCATGATTGTTGAATAGTTCTGAATCCTGAACCAATTATTTAATTATTTGAAAAATGCATTTCTTGGGTATTTCTTCCTTCTTATTAAGATACTGCAAGAGTGCAACCTTTTGTTTGTCATATCATAATGAATCCTCAAACAATAGAATACGATGTCACAAACAGAAAATATTTTAACATTCTTTAGATGCAAACAACCAAATTAAAGTAAATAGACTCATACAGTGAAGAAGTGAGGATTTAATTGAGACCAGCAGGGAAAACATTATTTACATCCCTAATTAAGATAGTAGGTTATTAGAATGGGTAGTTTAAAATCTCAGTGTTGTTAACATGAATAAAAAGGACATCAGAAATTCAGAATGGCAAAGGAGAGAGGGGGAGGACCTTGGAATGACAAATGGTCGAAGTGAGATGTTTTGCAATTAATCTTTCCAGAGATAGAAGATAACACCTTCAGGCAGAATGTTCTCGAATGTGTGATGAAAACAAGGCACAAGATCAGTCATATAAATTCTCTGTGGGAGGGAGGGAACTGCATATTATTAGAAAGCACCTTACATTATCATTTTATTTCTCTTTTCTATTCCTCTCTTAATAAATCCATTTAAAAAGATATTATCAAGGTGCACGGGCTAAACAAAATGTATTCAGTATTTAAAACATCCTCCCACTGGTAAATCTTTCAGCAGTCCACATGAACAGAAGCTAAAATTCTTAACATCTACCAAAGAACACTTGGTTAGTTTTGGTTCCCATGACAAGAGGGTTTTTTTTCTCTCATACATATAGTATGTACAATCATAGAAGCTACCCAGGAATTAAAAATTTATAAGAGTTCAGTTCCCAAGCAAATGATTCTTGAAAGTTTCAAACTCCTTCATGCTTGCGAGGATGAGAATGGCAAGTGAAAAGAATCAGGGAATATATCATGTATGTTGTTGAGATAGCTAGACCCCAAAACTACCTGTTTAGAAAGAACAGCATGTATAGCCCTGTAGTTAAGCATTGAACTGAGTGTTCAGACCCATGTGTACAACTGATCCAACTCTACTTCTGCATGTACAGCAGTTAACAGAAGCCTGTACTTAGCTTTGCTTTATATTGGACCTTGTTCAATGCAATACTACTATCAATATTACAATACTATACTACATATAATCTGGCTTCAAAGAATGAAGACTTCTGCTTCTGCTTGGTTTATTGTTGCTAGATTTATACATGTTTGGACAGTTTTTGATGCGGAATAAAATATACCCTTTTAGTTTGGGGAATAATTTTCCAGTAACCTAAGTTGTCAGTGACATATTACTAGTAAGGAGAAGACAATTTCCAGAAGTAGGATTTTTATATAAATATAATGAAAGCAAATTCAGAGAGCTTTTCTGATACTTGAGTATTTTATTCCTGACACTATAAAAATATTTTCTGTGCAAAGAGTATTAAAGGAAGCACAATCAAAGATAATTAAATGATCTTCTAGGGGTTTATAAAGTTTAAGATAGGCTTCAAGGAGTCTATCTGTCAAGCAATTTCCTAAAGTTAAGATTATACTGTCAAAAATATTCAGTGGTTTCATTACAATTTAAAATTATGGGCCATATCCTGCTTGTGTAGAAGTTTAGATTTGACATTTCCTTCAATGAAAGAAAGGCTGCCTTGTCCGGAAAAATCCCAGGTACTCTGTTTAAACTGATTACAAAAGGCTGTCTGCAATTAAATAAAACCTATCTTAAATTTATTTTGAAGTAATTAGAGGGTTTTTTTAAAAAGGAAAATGCAATGTTATCAACACATATTGGATTACAGACCACTTACCAGGTTTCCCACAGAAAGCACACTGCTGAACTGCTGTGTCATTGGGTAATGTTCCATTGCCATAAACAGTGTGTTTAGAACAATGCAGATAGTAATAGCAAGATCAACAAATGGATCCATCACAAACAAATTTACGATGTGTTTTACTTTTAACCATGGACTCCAGCAGTCCCAGATCAAGAAAGTGTTTGCAAATCTGTACCAGCATGGTGGGCATTTCTGTCTGGATTCCTCAAGCTCTGAAAAAAAAATAACTTTAACTCCAAAAAACCACAAATTATCCCATTAAAAGGGGACTTTTAATTTAAAATAGCCTACATGTTTATGTTCAAAAGAAATAAGTCAAATACAAATTATGCACTGAATGTTTCCATTCAGTGTTTTTATTTGTATAAACATAATAAAAGGATGGTATTTTTACATTACTATATACCATACATGGTGAGATCTGTGCTACTAAGCACATTTGTTTATTATTTAGGATATATGGTAAATCATTAATATCTTATTCTTCACTTAAAACAATATTTTTTAAATATAAATTAATATTTAATTTTTAACAAAAAGCAGTTTTACTATGTCTGTTTAGTATTGTCTTCTAATACAACATATTTATCAATTAAGAAGCAAAACTATTGTAACATATTGTGCCCTCAGTTGGGGATCTTTGTTTTATTTTTCTTCTGTGTTTACCCATCCAAAAGCACATATTTCTAGAAGGTAAGCTTTAAAGAGTGCTTTTAATACAAGAATTAACATCCAGTGTTCGAACTGGGAGCTGTATAAGCCCCATATGTTGCCCAGCTGGGTGGCAGACATGATCTTATAGCTCCTTGTGCACTAGGACCTGTCAAAACTACATGTACTATTCAGTTGCTCAGTATATGTGGCTTTATAGCTCCCCATGCCTTAGGACCTATCAAAAATGTGTGCCACTCAGGCAGCTCCCCAAGCACTGAGCTGATTCTTAGGGCACCAGTTTGGTTCCCTACCCTAGCTGACAATCTTATTGGGTTTTTTTGCTCCCCTGCACCCGCAAGTAAAGTGCTGCTACAGTCTAATCCCCAAATCATGCATCCTGCCATGCATGTGTGGGATGGCAGTATGTACAATTGTTGGGGTCAAGGATCAGATCCCACCATGTCTTAAAGTGAGTGTCTGTCAAGGGCCTTAGAGAAACCACCAAATTTGTAGTCACTTACAAAATGTCTGACTACTTTGAAGTAAAGTCTAGTAGACTATTCTAATCTCAAATTTTCAAAGACTTCTACAGTCAGTTTTACAAGAGAATAGAGGATTTAAACCTTCCTCTCATTACAATAAAGTATAGGCTGATTTGTGCTTCTGAAAATCAAGTGACCAAGGAACCATTTAAAAAACAAAACAAAACCCCTCTGTTGAAATTCCAACTTTGGGCAGATGAATTTGAAAACTATTTTGATTTTTTTTTTTCCTGAAAAAAATCTTTATTGTTCTCTTGGCCTCACCATTTTAGGCACTTATAGATTCAGATGGAAGAGTCTTTTTTGTTTGCAGTTAATAGAAAATCACCACCAGACTTATGACCTTCTAAAAGCTTACCTTTCTGACCTAGTTCTTATGGTAGTAGCTGCTCTAAGGCCCCTCCTACATGTTACATATATTATGCAATTAACTGGTTAAACACACCATAAATTTAGACCAGCCACACATGCAAAGTAATTATCACATGATAAAAATGACTATTCATCTATAAAAAGAGCCAATCAGCTACAAAGTTAGTGCTTGAAAATGTGTAACAACTCTATATTTGATTTCTAGCCAGCTTTAATTTGAACATGTAGCAAGGCCCTAAGAAAAACCTCAACTTATTGTTCCTAATCCAAAGCCTTTTTTCCCCCCCTCTAACAATGATTTTTTTCCCTCAGAATATGTTCTGGGACAAGAGCAATATATGAGGAATGATATCTTATGAGTCTCGATGGAAAAAAAATGTTAGCATTTAGAGTATGTGATGTAAGTGCTTGGTAATTTTCTAGCTTTGTAATTATAAAATTACAAATTAAATTTGTTATGTCTTATCTTAATGCAGTCTCCACAAATCCAGTGAAAGGTGTTTCAACAGAAAATGGGTTGCATACCTTCCATTGTATTTGTTAGTATACTGGCTATACTCATTGCTCTTTGTCTTGCAGCAGAATCTTCTAGCATGTCCATGGAAATTTGATAAGAACTTAATCTTCTCTTTCTTATTTCTGTTTCTGTAGTTGTGCCCTGGAAATAAATTGCAAGAGAATTAATCATTTTTTCCCAATATTTTTCTCATGATTCTACATCTTTTCCAGCAACTCATTAACAATACAATATGCCAGTCTCTAGTGACTCAAAATCCTACTCCAATATGTTTTGTGTCCAATGTATTAGGCGTTACCTAAATAGTTAAAGTTTCTGTGTCATAAGAATTTTCAGTTTACTAGGTTTCAGCTGGAAATTTTAAGTTGTCCCACAAGTGGTTTAGTTGGCTGGTAGAGAATATGTAAAGATTAGTGTTGTGTAATAAGAAGGGAAGTAGTGTTTTAGATTCCCACAGGGATTCAGCTTCCTTTCTTCTAAGGGTTGTGTGGAAAAGGATTTGTAAGCCAATCTTACAAGTTGCCTACTTGATTTAGGGCACTTGAAGCCAATGGCTTTTCCTTTTTTCTAAAGTGACTACTAGGACTGCATTAATTTTTTCTGGCAGATATATTTTCACTAAATTAATCCCTTAAGAAAAAAAGAAGATGCAGGGTATTACGATGATCTCTGGAGAAATATGCTGAGATCTTGCCAGCCACAACATGGCAATAGCAAAAGAATATTAAATTATTATTTAAAAAGGAGGTTTTGAAACAGGAAATACAGTAGTTCAAAATTAATGATGTTATTAAAATGCTCATTCCCACCCTGGTGAGAAATCTCAAAACTTTCACAAAAGTATAGAGGAATTTCTTGTGAAAGAGAAATCAAAATAAATCTCATCATGAAGTCTCAATCTCAAAGGTTTGCAAATATATAAATAACCATATATTTTCCTCATTGTAGTCCAGTTTACAAATGTTTAAGACATACAAAATAAGATGGCCTTGGACTTTCTGCTCTCTTCTCATGATCTATTTAAAACAATGGATGTTAGACTCCAATTTAAACATTCCTTAACAGGATGCTGTTACTTGGCACGTACTTTACGGGTGTGCAAAACGGGCCATATTCAATTCAAATTTGGCCCGAATCGAAGACAGTGATTTGATTAATTGATTTGGATCACTGTCCCGACTTTGATTTGACCGAATGTGAATCTTCAGATTTGATGCTGATTCAGAGAATCAGGGATTTGGCCATAGACACAGCTTTAAATGTTTTTCTACATACCTCGAGGTACCAGGCGTGGCTCCTGAACACTGCGATGGTGGGACAGATGGAGCATCCCACAGGAGCATGGGGGGTAAACTTCCAGTCCGCTTCTGGGTCTGCCACTGATCACATGGGAGACCCCCCCCAGAGCCCCCCAGCTCAGTGATCAGCCACGGGAGGGTCCCAGATACCACCCCCCAGACACAGGAGGCACCAGTCGCTGAGCTGGAGGGCAGTGAAGGGGGGTCCCCCACACACTCCCCAGTGGACCCAGAAAAGGGTCTGCTGCCAAGTATGCTGGGGAGCCCCCTGCACTGTTGTGGAATGCTCCATCCACCACAGCATCGCAGCTTTCAATGTAGAAAAAACATTTAAAGCTCTGTCTATGTCCGAATCATCAAATCTGTCTGAATCAACTCTGAGGGTTCCATTTCTATTCAGAAAGATTAAAGGGTTTCCTGATTTGATTTGGATTTGGAGATTCAGCCACCAGACTCAGCTGAATCTCCGCCGAACCAAATCAGTGACCGAAGCTTTGCACAGCCCTAATGTACTTTTCTTGGCATATACAATTTTTTTCTTCTTTGGAGGGCAGCCTGGCTTAGTGGCCTGCACACAGGGGCAGTCCAAGTAATTCCTAAGTCCTGACTCAGCTCTCCAACTCTCTTTGTGGCTTTGAGCAAATGACTTATTTTTTCTGTCTTAGTTTTACTGTGTGTGGAAAAAGGATAATAATGCCTGCATATTTCTCAAGAATGTTCCAAGGATTAACTGATTAATGTTGGTCTAGTGTGAAGAAGAAAAGCCCTTTGAAAGAATTAACTAGTATTATTCCTTAAGAGAAGATTCTAGACATAATCAGGATTAATCTTATTAGAGGAAAAGGTTTATCACATGTGCATAAGAATGCATATACCAGCTGATGCTTTCCTTAGTTAATAATTTGATTTTCTGATCTGAAGACCTGAATCAAGATGGAAAATAAACATAGAAACTAAAGCAAGATATTTATACAAGTATTGAAATTTCAGTACTACTTTTTAATGTGGATGTTTTAAAAGCAATGCTATTAAAACTGATTAGTGCTGTACTGATTCAATCCATTTTTAACAATATCATATCATTAACACTGCCTATGTTTTGGTAAATGTTTGAAAGGTATCAGTTTTGGGATTATATAAACTTATAACTCCATGTGAGATGTAATGACATTGCATGAGTGTGTAATGCATATAAACATTTTTCTCATTAAAATCATTGTTATGGAACTTTTTGATTCCCACTGCAGTTGTTGAGGTTTTTGCCATTGACTTCAAAGGGAAAAGGATCTAGTCCCTTAGCTTGTTTATTCCATGTGTTTGGAAATAGTGCGTTTCTACTCAGATCTAAATGGCAAATGCCTTTAAAATATTCTGCTCTACCTATCCTATCTATAGATCTCTTATTGAAGAATGCATTTAGGAAAATCCACTGTGCCCAAATCATTTCCAATTGTGCTTGCATTACAATATTATTATTAGTTTATCTAAAGTTACCTCTGGGAAAAGCTGTCCAGTAGGCGAAGTAAGAGCTGAAGGTCCTCCAACCAAGGAAACCACGCCATTGCAGTCCACAGTGCTGTGCATCTTCCCATTTGCTGGAAGTGCTGGTACCATCCTGAATGACATACTAGTCTGGCTAATGTTACTATTGCGCCGTTCTCCATGTTTGTTTGGAACAAAAAGGGAATCCCTTCTGCTCTCATTATCTTCAAGAGTGCTGTGTTCATCATCAGCAAAGTCATTTTCTGATCCTATATCCTTTGCTCGACCTCTGAAACTGAAAATACTTGTTCTACTGTTACGCCGAGGGGAAAATAGAGAGCCACGAATGCTCAGCAAAGACTGGGGGTAAAGGAAACCAAAACATAGCATTAGTATCTGAAACATCAAAATATAATCACTTGCTTTCTCATAGTAAGTAAATACCATGTTCAGCAGGAAGGAAATTTGTTATTTTTTATTTAGCAACAAAATTGTGTCCACATTATATACCAGAGGAGAATAATTATTTTTTAAGTATACTAGAGTGTGTAATGAAAGAAAAAAGTGCAAGGGCAGACTCTGGGATCAGATTGTTTTTCATTAAAGATATGCAGCAGGATTCGGTGATTTTTTTTTTTTTTTTTTGGAGTGGGGATAGATTTGGTAT